ATTTTTATTTTGTCATGAATTAAAATAAAAAATCTGATGTTACTCTCAATTTTTCATCCCTCTATGATCAACCCCTATTTTTTATTTGTTAATTATAAACTTTAATTTTTTTGGCAAGTTTTTTATTTTGTTTTGTCATGACTTAAAATAAAAAAAATCATATTACTCTCAATTTTCACTCTTATACGATCAACCCCTATTTTTCCATCCCGATTAATATTATTTTTTATTCTATGCACAGATCCGCAATAAGGTTGCAAGATGGCATTCAAATATTATAATTGTAGTACGATAAATTCTTATTCAGAGTTTATAATTTCAAGTTCCTTTAATTATGATTTTTTTTTAATTGAATTTGATTTCCCGCCCTCGCCGGTCGACTACTGATCAACTATCAATTGATCAGCTATCCCCGCCAGGAGTCACCACTCATTCAGCAAACATCACGTAGTAGGGATGAGGACGAAGCCGGTCTCCTGTCTTACCTACTCACTATACATCATAGATTATACACTTAATATATTTGAGAACTATACAATACTATACATTTTTCAGCCATGTTTTTTTGGTTTTATTTGTGTATCAATTGTATGTTCAGTAGGTCTGAGAATCGGCTACTATTTATTTTTCATACCCCTAAGTGAAGGGTTGTCCACGCCAAACATTTATTTTAATTTGTTGGATTTTTGTTTTTGTTTATAATGAGGTATTATGTGGTTAAATGAGGGTTTTTTCTACAGTAGAATTTCCCTAGAAATCTTTTTTAAGGCAACACAACGTTTGCCGGGTCAGCTAGTTAATTATAAATTTGCGAAATTAACATCTAAAGCTGATGTAAAACTAAGTCATATACTAACTAGTATTATAGGTATATATATATATATATATATATATATCCGGTATCATTTTTACTACATTTTTTTTATTGCCCTTGTAGGCAGACGAGCTTACGGCCCACCTGATGGTGAGTGGTTACCGTCGCCCATGCACTTCAGCAATGCCAGGGGCAGAGCCAAGCCGCTGCCGACAATATGCTATCATACATGCTATGTATGATTCGATATTTCGTAACAGGCCATAGGGACCATGGAGCAAGTGTTCTACGAGCACTCGAACCGTCACACGTTCGCGTCGTCTTGCTACGACATCGTCCTGAAGCCGGCGGTCAAGCTACAGAACTGTCTGCCGGTCGACATCGTCGTGTCCCAGCTGGGCCTCAAGCGCACGCAGACCTTCAAGCCGGGTGAAATGTTCCACTTGTCGCACTTGGCGCCGAATAAAGCATCGATCGTTATTATGGTGAGTGTGAATTGTGTCACTGGTGAGTTTGTTTATTCATCATCGCCTATTCAATTGGACGCCACTGAGTACAATCCTCAGCTTCCCTCATCCAGCTCTTGCCAGTCACTCCTCATAGATTGTCACTCCATATTACAACATTAAAATTAAATTGGCATTTTTATTATCATTAATATTAATAAATAATCAAGCTTAATGTAATCTACCCACAATTTAGTGGAAAATGGAATTCGAATATCTTTTCATCATCATCATCATTCTTCTGCCACTCTCCCAGTCACCTGGGGTCGGCGCAACATGTTTTATCCTTCCATACTCCTCTATCATATACCAATTTTTCGTTCACTCCCCTCTTACACATATCGTCTTTCAAGCAATCCATCTATTCACAGATATGAAACACTTAATAAACCACCGTTATTACAAATTTAAACCTGAAGAAACACTAAATAGACAAAAATAAAACAAATCCCACAACTTCACTCCTCACGTTCCCGCCAAAAAGTCCATATTAACCTATTTTCAATTTGACCACAGACTAAGCAATAATAAAAGTTTAATAATAAACATAGAGTATTAATATGTTTGCGTGTCAAATACATGGTAGTGTGTGTAATGTTTTTTTATTGATTTAATTTTGAAATAATTGATTATTATTAATGCATAATAAAAAAAAAAATTAGCATTCTGCACTCCTTCACTGTATTCTCTATAAGTGTGAGAAATTTCATAATCCTCCGTACGTGCAATTTTCGTATAAAAGGGATACAAAGTTTTTGCTTCACGTATTAATATATAGATTCTCAAATATCCGTTTCTTTTAGATACAAAACTATTTGGAGAAGTGCTGGGTGTGTACTAAAAATCTCCCCGAGGCCGAGATGGAGTTGTCGGTGTGGTCGTTCGAGTCGCACGACAGTCCGTCCGTGATGACGCTCGAGCTGGGCATGTGCAGCGCCGACACGGACGGCACGCAGATGCTCTCCCTGTACTGCCCCTTCTGGATGCTCAACAAGACCGGCTTCACTCTGTGCTATAGAGTGAGTACAAATATCCTACATGATTTCGCTAGATCAATTATCAAATCAATCAATATTACAAAGGACATGGGCCATTTTCCAGCTACTAGTGCTCTCAAGGACACGAATGAAATATCTATAGAAAAAAAACATTTCATTTTTACATACTTATTATAAAATTGAAGGGCATTTTAATGGTGGGATAATTTAAATCATAAATAAAAAGAAATTAGCATGACTAAGCTACGTTGATAATATTGAAGGAGTTGCCATAGGTAAAATATATTTATATTTTAAACAATTCACATGAAATCTTCCTAAAAAAGACATTATATTGCAAAAAAAAGTTGCAAAAATATTAACATATTTAATTAATGGATTTTAAAACTAATATAAAACATTATATCTAAACAAAAATCTATTTTTATACTTTTAAATCCGTAGAATAAATCATTACATTGTTCAATAATTATTGATCATTAGCAAAAACAAAACGACGCTTGTTTAATGTTTATTTACGTTTTACATTTGATCAGTCGTTTTCGCACTCGTGCGCATTGTGGATATTATTAAGTGTTTCGTTGCGATATACCTGCTTAATATATTTAGTTGTGCATAAAATTAAGTCTTGACGTTCATTGAATTAGGTCTGTGTTATAAAGTATTGTAATATAAATAATATTTAAGCTGATGATGATGTTAAAGTGTAAGTGTATTGATAGCAAATCATATGATATAGGTAACCTAAAAATCTTATCTTATTTTTTAAATATCTCTGTATCTTCTTGAACAATATTGGTTTTAGCCGGTCACCGTCCTCGTCGAACCCGTCGCTTGCTACGAAGGGCTCGACGAGCGAACTAACCCATAGACACAGTACACTGAGTTTCTCGCCGGATTTTCTCAGTGGGTCGCGTTTCCGATCCGGTGGTAGATTCTGCGAAGCACTGCTCTTTCTAGGGTCAGTGTTAGCAACTCTTCGGTTGAGCCCCGTGAACTCACCTACAAACGTTAGGGTGAAGCTGAAATAGCCTCTCTAGGCTATCAGCATAAGGAAAAAAAAATTGATTTTAATTTGTTTATAATAAAAGGGATATATAGTCTGTTATTTAAACTTAATTACATTACTGTCCTGGAACTTCGTTTAGTGGGCCGTGCAATGTATGGAGGGTGGCCCATGTCCTTTCGATGTGACATTTTTTTTTATTGGTAAATGTTTTTAAAGTAGTAGGTTGTGAAAAAAAAAACAATGCGCGTGCAAGTTGGTGCACGTGAATGAAGTGAAACTTCTTTTTCGATGTGTAGTATTGTGACTTTCTTCATTTTTCATTCTTAAATCAGATTGCTCTTGTAATAGGGAATGATGTGTGTAAGAGATGCCATATTTTCAACATTTATATTAAATATATTTTAAATTATGGATAGAAAAATAAATATATATATATTTATTAAATACTTCATTAAAATATTGGATGCTACTCATTGCTGAGCGTTAGCAACGAGTAGCGCGCTGGCCTGTAACAGGTATAATAAGCGCATGCGTTCGAGTGCTACGCATTCACTTTCGCTCTGTCTCTTTCTAGTATGCTAGCGTTAAACGTATAACGCAACTTTGTTGGGAGTCGCATTAGAAGTTTCACTTCAAAAAGTTTGTGGCTCTTATCTTTATCATAAATTTTCTTTGGCTTCTTATCTACCTATTAAAAGCTAGAAAATAACAGGAGCTGTAGTGTCAGAAACGAGAAACATTTTCATAGCGTGTTACGTTAAAATTATTATTAACTTTGTCAAAATTAACTAAACTCTTCGCTCGTATAACGTTTAAAAACCGATTGGCCATAAAACATTCCGTGATTGCAGAAATCAAAGAAACCAGAAAAAGACTCCAGCACGCCGAACAAGGTATCTTTGAGATGATCCGGCTTCGATAGTTTTGTTACTATAAATATTTCATATGATTTTTATTTTATTTTTTTATTAATGCCTTATTAATCTAACGAGCTTCATCTCAAAGCGCTATTAGATTTTTGGTTTCGATTTTGTAAATTCATTTCCGTGTGTATTTACAGCATGCGTTCAGCGGGGTCATAGTATAATCACAACAGTCTGTAGACTTTAACCAACATTATCGTTATTTCTTATTGTACGTATCTTATTATCATCTTTGGAGCTGGGTACATCTGATTTTTATTATATAAATAAATATTACAGATAAAACAATCACGTTGCAGTAAATTTATTAGACGTCGCACATCTTGTTTGCCGGTAAGTGCAAACAGACGGCTTCAATTTAGTTTTTTTTTTTTATAAATACTTGTGCACGGGCTCTGGTATATTGGAATATTAACAGTACATCGTTTATAAGTCGGCACTGTTTACTTGTAATAAACTTTATTGTGCATAATACGAATGAGCTATATACAGCGTGTTCTTGGGTTGGGGCTTGAGATTGTTATTAATACTATGTGCAATGCTATACTATACTTCCGTTTCAGTTTTCAATATTGGCGTAAGAATTCACATTAGGGTCTATTGTCTCTGGCAACTGCTTTATGTCGGGTGTGCCTTGAGTTTTTTTCCGGTTCGGCGCCAATAAAAATACTCGTCAGTTATGTCGTTTTAAATTGATAAACACCTCATGAAATCCAAGAGATATAAATTAAAACACATTTTAAGATTGTTCAAAACTAGAACGAGTAATTTTTTTTTAAATATTTTTCTTCGTGCGATGACCCTGCTGCTTTTGTGATTTTTTTATTATTATTATTTTTGCGCTCTGTCTAAATTACAACTAGTATTGCTTTTGGCCGAAATTTAAGATTAGACCAATATGTTGAAACTTTTGTTGTATGTGTTTATTTTATTCCGCCTACCTAACCTTACAATAATATACAGATGATATATACATACATATATGGCACTGTAACTTTCGAATTACATAAGTTGAACACTCTTAATTAATATTAAGTCTGATTCACATTGTACACAATACAAAAATGTACTTAAATTTTAAATTTACACGCGTATTAAAATTATAATTTTAATAAATAAAAAAAGTTTAAAGTCTATTGCATGTACGTTATAAAGTATGGTCACACCGAAATTAATCTTATAGTTCCATTTCGCTCTCGTTTTCTATCAATAGAATTTACAGTAACAAATTATTAAATAACTAGTAATTATTTTGATAATTGTTTTGAAGATATTTGCCTAAGAACATTAGCAGACCTAATCAAGATATGTATATAACAAAGAATGAACCAAAATTAGGACTTAAAGCTTACGGTTCATTTAAGTCGAATAGTAAAATCACTATGCTTTTAATTGTTCTTTACGCACGTTTCGGTGTATCGATAAATAAAAATCTATAAATAAAATACATTATAATTTAATAATTTTAGAACGTCGACGAAACTGGAAATGTGATCTTTCATCCGAAAGACTACAAGGAACCGATACTATTCTCGTTCCGGGCGAAGAACTTCTTCGGCAAGAAAAAAGCTGCGATCAGAGTTGAATTCGGTGAATGGTCCGATAAGTTCTCGCTCGATGTACCCGGCAGTTCCGGTGTCGTCATATGTAAACACGAAGGAAGGACTTATCAAGTAAGTGACGGCTAAGAGAGACTAATATGTTTTACTATAGAATAAGGCGCCATTGTAACGCACCCTAAAAACTAAATTAAAATAAAAGGATATTAGAGTCGTCTATTATCAAAGGTGGCAATCTGTGCATTTAGACAAAAAAAATTTATTGATATGTCAATACAGATTGATTTGAATATAATCGTCTCCTTCAAAGAATACGGTTCAAAACCTGCATTAAATAAAAGTTAATAGTTAACCTGTTATTTATCTAAGATGTCGTTCCGAAGAGTTTTGTGACTGCCAATGGAATACAAAGTCAATAATTCGCTTTTCTGATTTACCAATCATTGTCCAAAAGTCAGATTGCCGACTTTGATAATAGTCGACTCATTAGTCTAACATACTAACATTTTTATAATTACTTAGTTCTTTATTTTTCTTTAATAAATCTTTCCCAATGTGGAACTTCCATTTTTAACTGTGATTTTTTCGAAATAAAATCCATTCAAAACTACTTTAGGATACTATAAATTTGTAGGATACTATAAACTAGTTCGAATAAATTTTTTGCAACTAATTCCACATCGCTACCGCTACGGAGCTGTCAGATATATTAATATTACCAACACTTCATCACCGTACATATGTATATTTATACTTACTTTTTCACTGGTGTTAGAACCTCTTGTGAGGGGTACCTTTCACGGGTAGTTACCATTGCCCTGCCTATTTCTGCAGTGAAGCTGTAATGCGTATGGGTTTGAAGGGTGGGGCACCCGTTGTAAATATACTATACCTTAGAACTCATATCTCAAGGTGGGTGGCGGCATTTACGTCTATGGGCTCCGGTAACCACTTAACATCAGGAGGGCCGTGAGCTCGTCCACCCACCTAAGCAATAAAAAAAAACTTATTTAACCCTTTGGGCGCGAACCATCGCCAAATGGACTCACTCACATTTATTTTATTGATAAGTTAATAACAATTAAAAAGTAATTTTGAATACTAAATTCACAGCAATTCACAGTAACTATACTGAGATCTTAGAACTTATATCTCAAGGTGTGTGGTGCATTTACGCTGTAGATGTCTATGGGCTCCAGTAACCACTTAACACCAGGTGGGCTGTGAGCTCGTCCACACATCAAAGCAATAAAAAAAAAAAACATTTCTATATTTTTTCAAGCTAGTTTTTTATAAGGTACTTTAAAAAAATCTTTAGCAATTTCTACAAAATATGTGAAAATAAGCTCAGCACTAGAAGGGTTAAAGTTATAAATATGTGAAAATAAGCTCAGCACTAGAAGGGTTAAAGTTACAAATATGTGAAAATAAGCTCAGCACTAGAAGGGTTAAAGTTACCAACGCTTCGTTAACTCATAATCAATATGTATCGATTGTTTTACAAAGAGAAGTTTTTTATGCTGTTTGTATTATTTTTATTAAAACACTTACACGATATTTCCAGGTTGCGGTCACTAATCAGTTGACGTACAACAGCCTCACTAAGATGGTTATATTCACTCCGTACTTCCTGATCATCAACGAAGCGCCGCTCGCTATCCAGTACCAAGAGCTGCACAGGTCAGGAGACCCGTGGAAAGAGGTACGCTACCATCAATTGTATGTATTGGAAGTGGAAGGAAAGAGGCCTAGGAGACGTAGTCCCATGCGCTGGTCCAATCAGATTAAGACGACTTTGGAATCCAGCATCAATGTCGCTATCTACTGCGCGGAGGACAGGAGTGAATGGAGGAACATAGTCTTAACAAAAGTGCTCAGTAAAGGTCACGACCCTCAGAACTGAGGAATACGACGCACGAAGGGATGTATTAATGGGACATTTTTTTACTGGTGGTAGGACCTCTTGTGAGTCCGCACGGGTAGGTACCACCACCCTGCCTATTTCTGCTGTGAACTTTAGAACTTATCTCAAGGTGGGTGGCGACATTTACGTTTTAGATGTCTATGGGTTCCGGTAACCGCTTAACACCAGGTGGGCTGTGAGCTCGTCCCCCATCTAAGCAATAAGGCAATAATAGCATCTAAGGAATTAAAAGTGTCGGTATTGTTGTGGAAGTGCCGTTCAAACCGTAAAGAAAGACCGCTTCTAGGTTGATGATTGAAAGATTAAATAAAGTTGAAAATAATGTTAGTAGTATTGCGATCTGAGAGGCGACTGTCGCTTTCTGTACGCTTCTCGATTGTCGCACGATTGTTCCGAGTGTTTGTCGTTGTGCGAATAGATAAAGGCGATACTTATATGAATCTATGTACATATTTAAGATCACATAATTACTTACGAATGTCTTTTATAAATTTTTACATCATTTTACAAATATTTTTATTTGGAAATCAACAACATCGTCTGTAAATTGTTTAAATAAAGTAAGTATTGTTATAGGTGGAACAGAACTCCAGTGCTCCGTTGTGGCCGGTGGTCGAGAAAGAAGACAAACTTCTCTTATTGAGAGTGGCTGGTTCTACGGAACACGCGGCACCCTTCCTCTACACAGAACAGAATAGCGTTTGTTTGAAATTGAAAAATGAGGTAAGGCAATCACCGCGTTGTTGTGAGCATTCCAATAGATAACATCAAACATATTCATAATCATTTATTCGGTTTTTAAGAGTCGATGAAATTATTAAAATTATAGTTACCTTTATTCGTCAGTCGTACGGTGACCACGAATACTGCAAAGTATTCGAATCGTTAGAAATAATATGCGGACAATAATAAATGTGCGATTAAACCGTAAACTAAGTTTTTGTTGATATTCGTTACATATCTGGAGTTGTAATAATAAATTGAATATTAGTTTCTGTTCATGACAATATAATTCCGTGCTATCATTTTGATTCATTTTCCATTACGTCATTTTAGAAATTATTCGTCGGTCGTTTATTATCCATATATATAAATGAATTGCTGTTCGGTAGTCTCGCTAAAACTCGAGAGCGGCTGGATCGGTTTGGCTAATCTTGGTCTTGAATTGACAATGCTCGGAATTAAATAAAAATAACAATTTTGTATTTCCTTTGATGTGTACCCCGTCGGACGGATTCCTTTTGTTTGTTTTAAGTTTATTTTATACAAAAGCTTACGTATTTTATTTATCGATTGAGGCACTACGAAGTCTGCCGGTTCAGCTAGTTTTCATTAAAAATGTAATTCTTAAGCGAATAATGTTTTTTTTTATAAAGTATGGCGGCCTACACGTCGAAGTTCAGTTGAGCGAGGGAGGCACGTACATAACGATACGCCAGTACCGGGACGGGCACGCGCCCGCGCTGCTCGTCAACTACTCGCCGCACGCGATCACCGTGTACGAGAAAGAAAACGTTAATAGTGTGTGAGTATATTTTGGTCATTGAATTAAGTGTTTTGTTTATATCCCGTCGATAGAACTACAGATTCAGAACAGTTTTTCTTAAAATTAGTTTTATGAGAATTTGAGGGTAGTTTTTGTTATTTTTCTTAGGATCTACGTCCTTAACACGAAATTTAACTGTTCAAAGTGTTCAATGATCGAGATTCGAATATAATCGGTGACGCCTTAAGATTTAGACTAGCTTTATGTGTGTATGAAAAATATGCTCGTCATTAGCCTTCTAAACGAAAAAGCCGGTTGACAAACAGACGAAAAAAGCTCGAAAACAAATAGAAAAAACAGACGAAAATAATAATAAAAAAAACAGTTTTGTCTTCGCTCTTATATACATACATGAATTTAATAAATATACACTAAAAGTAGCAGAATAGATACATAATACTATAGAAATAGACAGACGTAGATGTAAAGGAAACAAAAGGAAGGAAGAAAAAAATGGTAGAGTTAACATGGTTATTTATATTTTGACATTCAACAAGTGTGTTATATTGACATCTAAGTTGAAATAAATGATTTTGGATTTGAATTTGAAATCAATTGCAGTTTGAAAAGTGTAATGGATATTCGACTTTGTGCTTCTAGTATTAAGGTTTAATTATCGATTTTTTTTCACGATCTAGGCAAATTCCGTCCATGCACAAAATGTTTTACACTTGGGACAACCCAGCCGGACCGCGCGTCCTTATATTCGAAGGGCACAAACGAAAGGAAGTCGAAAACGATCTTAGAAAAGATGGCATCGGTGATTTCATGTAAGCTTAATTAAACCTTTTACTCTTAAATAGTTATATTAAAAAGTCACATAATCTGTTGGATATTTTAAATTTTAGTGACGTTTTATTGTAAATTAATGTGTCATGTCAACGTATTTCACGTCTCATCTAGGCAATAAATATATTATTATATGAAGTTTAGGGATACCTAATAAAATAATTTTTGTACCATGCATTTTTCATACAATAAACAGCAGCAGTACATATTTTATTTCGCTATAACAGCGGCGTCAATTTTCATTTCAATCGAAATTTAAACAGGACGAAACGAGGCTGTATTCCAAATTGATTACTGTGCTTTGTAACTTTACAACTCAAAATCGTTTAACAGGATCACCGAAACGTGCCGCGTCTCGTGGGTGTCGTTCCTGGACGGCCTCCAGCGCGTGATCCTGTTCACCGACGACCCGATACTGGCGAGCGGTGCCTACTCCATCGGGGAAGTGGAGGCCATCGACATGGAGATCGTGCTGTCCATGCAGGGGATGGGCCTCTCGCTCGTCAACGATCACGAAATGCTCGAGCTCCTCTATATCAGCATATCCAAGTAACTATAGAGCTTTGATTTTACGCCTTCTTCTTTTTCTTTTTAAAAAAAAATCAAAAATTATGTTTGTCGGCCGTCGATTTAAAACACTATTATGCTTTGGTGGCATCTTTGTTAACGAATAGTATAAATGCCAAGAGACACTCAATACTAAAACAAATTTAAACACAAACAATCTTAAAACTAAACAAAAAACTGAGCACTAAACAAAAACAGTATAATGATAACAAATCAATGAAAACTTTTGTAGCCGCCCGTACTCAAGACAGAGATAGCGACACGAACACGACACTAATGCTAGCGTGTGAGTGAGACACATTACCGCATACCGAGAATTACCGAATTTATACGATGTCAAGAAAAGGGATGTCCAATATGCGTGTTTGAGGATGTTGTTTAATCGATTTTTTTTCAAATTGATTAAAATTTATATAAAAATATATATTTATATTCCATTTTATAGGAGGTTTAAAATATTCACGAACAGTCCCTATTGTAGTAGTTGTTGATAAATAACTGATATTCAACTAAATCATGTCTTTCAACCAAGAAAATAAAGTGTTATTAGTTTTTTTTTTTATTAAAGATGAAGTCTCGTTTACTAACGACAACATTCAATATGTTTGTAAATCTATTTCATTCATTATCTCATATAAACAAAAATCAATAAATTCCAAACCGATAAAAATCGATTGCGATATTTGATTGAATAAAGGGACGATTGTGTTTACATAGAGTCAATCCCTAGCCTAGACCTCCGCCCCGCGCACGTTGCTCATACCACCATTTGGTTCCTAAAAACGTTTGTGCGCAGCCTTCTGCGCGAAGTTCGGACTCGCCAAGTTACGTCGGTCGTATTGTACCACCACTCCGTTTATTTCTGCCATGAAGCAGTAACGCGTTTCGGTTTGAAGGGTGGGGCAGCCTTTGTAACTATACTGAGATCTTAGAACTTACATCTCAAGGTGGGTGGCGCATTTATGTTATGTTTATGGGCTCAAGTAACTACTTAACACCAGGTGGGCTGTGAGCTCGTCCACCCATCTAAGCAATAAAAAAAAACTGTCTGCAAACGTCTGCCAACAAGTCTGCAAAACATACATGTGATGATTTTCAATTTAATTACAGTTCAGGAATCGTATGGGAGCAATGTAAGATCGGTGCCCGTCGCTACAAGAAGATAGAGGGACAGAAAGTGGTTCAATTCGAAGAGGCGTACCAGAGGTACTTGGTCGAGAAGATGGTCAGCGACGAACCCACTCAGAAAGCTATTGTGCAGATCGATGAAAAAACAGAGGTATCAATGTTTCTGTTACTTGACTGATGTCAATAAATTGATATCTATTTTAAGCTAAATAATAAAGGTTTCTTTCATTTTCTACTATTTTGTATACCTATAATTAATAACTTTCCGATAACGTAATGAATTTACTTTTCAAGATGGTACAGTAATTGTTTTTAACATATTTCAGTAAAGTCGCTTTCTTAGATGTTGTAATTTATTTAAACTAATTGGCTGATAGTTAATTGTATGATTGATTTAAAGAAATGTGTTAAAATTAATATAATTTTTGGTACGTTTAAATGTAGTATATAGTATTTTTACGCCGGTAATAGTAACGCCATCTATCGCTGAACAGTCGAACGAATATCGAAGGATCTAGTAGCACCTAGAACGCTCGAGAAGTATAACGCCATTTAATGTCAGATAGAGGAAGCATAATACTAGAAATGTGGAATATTCTCGATAATTCTAGGGATGTGGTATCGGCTATAAAAGCTTTGCAGAGATGGCACGCAGTCAGTCAGTAATCGGAACTACTCGAAGCGAAACAGCGAACGGATCATCTGAAGTGAAGCGGACCAAGCGAATTGAGAGTTTTAAAGTGTTTGTGAATTGTTTTAAGTGTTGAATACAGTTTTAAGTTGTACTCTGGTAGATTTTTTATTTATTCCGAACCCCAGCGCGTAATAGTATTTATTACGGTGTTTTCGGTGAACGAACTTAGAAACCTGAGGTTGGTTGAGGATGGTTTCATTAGTGTTGTAGGGTAGAACTGGATGCGCACAACACCGGACGATACTCATTGCATCGGTTGGTTTTGCAGGTGAACTTCGAGGAGATGCGCATCCTGAAGCCGACGCCGCGTCTGCTGCGCCGCACGCTGGAGGCGGGGCTGTGGGCGTCGTACAGTCTGTCGGCACACTCGCGCCGCCTGCACGCGCGCCTGCACCGCCTGCAGCTCGACCAGCAGTTGCCGCTGCCCACCTTCCCCGTGGTGCTGGCGCCCGTGCCGCCGCCCAGATCCGTCGCCAACGACGACCCCAACGGTACGCACCGTGTTGAGCTTCAAGGGACAGTACCCGCACGTACCTGCACGTACCCGCAAATGTTCACATCGTGTAATAAAAATCTAACCCGCAAAATTATAATTTGCGTAATTACTGGTGGTAGGACCGCTTGTGAGTCCGCAAGGGTGGGTACCACCATCCCGCCTATTTCTGCTGTGAAGCAGTAATGCGTTTCGGTTTGAAGGGTGGGGCAGCCGTTGTAACTATACTGAGACCTTAGAACTTATATCTCAAGGTGGGTGGCGCATTTACGTTGTAGATGTATATGGGCTCCAGTAACCCCTTAACTGTGTAACACCAGGTGGGCTGTGAGCTCGTCCATCCATCTAAGAATCCACGTCCGTACGTAGCGTCAGTAACCGACAACCAAACATTACACTTTCAACTTCGTATCTGCAGTGCATATGGTGATTATAAAAACCACGGAATTCATATTTCTATGTAAGGAAGAAATCTTACAAGAGAATTCAAAACGTGTGCTAAAATAGGTGTGCCGATAGCTTTTAATTTTTTTTTATCGAAAGAAAATGATTCTGTTCTGTTCATTTAGAAAAGTGAATTAAAAATAAAGCATTGAACCTTACTTTCGTAGGTATGAAACCGTTCATTGAAGTATCTATAGTAGAGCGGATCATGGAGCACAGCAAAGTACGCCAGTACAAATATTACAAGATGCTAATACAAGAGTTCCACGTGAAAGTCGACATGGGACTCATCAATGGTCTCATGGCGATGTTCCCGCAACAAATACCCACCGAACAGGAAGCGGTAAGTGAACATACCGGAAGTCGGTTTTGGTGGCGAATTTATTAAAAAAAAAAAAATTATAAAATATGTTAACTGAAAAATGCGAATGAAATCGATTATTCTGTGAATCTGATGCAAATACCAATTTTTTATGTTTTTTTTTTGTATTTTATAGTTGGAAGCTTTTAGACTTGATTTAGAGAAAGCTGGACAACCACTAGAAGCTCTGGCAGCTTTAGGGGCTGCGTCTGATCAAAAGAACTTCTATGACAACTTGCACTTATCGCCACTCAAGGTAAGTGCGTCATGTTATATCGATATGAACTGTATTGATTTATGAACTAGATCTTCTAACTTATACTAATGCATCTACAACAAAATTATTTAAATAAAAGTAATTTCAGATATTTTCTTAACCACATATACTAACATCTCGACGCTTTTATAGTGTACAAAATGTATTTTGTTTATATTTTTATTATTATATTTCGACAAAATTTGAAAGTAGCATTGTACTAAACTAAATCAGACTATGTTAAACTTTGACAGGATATTACAAAAAAAAAAAACAAGCAAAATAAAAATGGGAACTGGTCTCAAGCTCAAATCTCTAAACGACAAATTTTAATCAGTGCAATATTTATTTTGCCAAATGTATCCAACCAGCTCCCAGCCCTCACCCATTAGTCCGCTATAACTGTATGTTGTTCCCTATAGGTCCACGTGTCATTCTCCCTCGGAGGGGCGACTCAGCTGCCCACATTCGTCGGCACGCTGCTGCAGAGTATCGGCGTAACTTTAACAGACATGAACGATGTTGTCTTTAAGTAAGTACTAACTTAACTCACTGAGTTTCACACCGGATCTCCTCAGTGGGTCATGATTCCGATCCGCTAGTAGATTCAGCGAAGCACTGCTCTTGTTAGGGCTAGGGTTAGCAAAGTCTCTCTCAGTATATGAGTCCAGTGAGCTCGCGGCTATACATTTGATAAAGCTAGTATAGCCCCTTAAGGTATATAATAGCAGTATATATAATAGCAGTAGGTAAAAAAAAAAGTTTTTGTTAAAGTTGCTAATTTTCCCATTTATTATAGTTGTTGTTATTCAGCCTATTTGGCTGTCTATAGTCAAAGAGCTCGAAAGGCATAATAACTATAGTCTTTTTTCAAAGATCATTGCTTTATTATATTATTAAATTTTGAAATTACCATCCCTTCGTGATGGACTTCCATGGATGGATTCGAACTTACCAAGATAGCCTTCGGCCTGACTATGCTAAAAAGACCAGGAGTCTTCCGACAAATTGTAAATTGAATTTTGTTAAATGAAATAAAATCGAATGGAGTACCAATTAAACAGTGAAAACAAGCGTTAAAATATCTAATTAAATACAAATATGGACAAATGAATTCGTACTGCACGCTATTATATCTTCAAATTACATTCTAAGAATATATTATAGTTTAGTCATAATAAGATTATATTTTCAGCAAATTCAATCTTAAATTTTAAAATATAATTTAATATTTGAAATGATAATTAATTCCTCCATTATTCTTTTTTGTTAACATTTTACTAAAAATACATCCCTTTTTTAATTTTTTTTATGGCTTGTATGGACGAGCTCACAGCCCACCTAGTGTTAAGTAGTTACTGGAGCGCCACTCACCTCGAGATATTAGTTCTAAGGACTCAGCATAGTTACCCACGCTTCGAACCGAAACGCATTACTGCTTCACGGCGGAAATAGGCGGGGTGGTGGTACCTACCCGGGCGGACTCCCAAGAGGTCCTACCACCAGTGATTACGCAAATTATAATTTTGTGGGTTTGATTTTTATTACACGATGTTATTCCTTCACCGTGGAAGTCAATCGTGAACATTTGTTGAGTACGTATTTCATTAGAAAAATTGGTACCCGCCGGTGGGATTCGAACACCGGTGCATCGCTACACACGAATGCACCGGACGACTTATCCTTTAGGCCACGACGACTTAAAAGACATTTCATATGTTGACCTCTGACGAAAGGTGTGGTGTATACTGTCTATACAGCACCAAAGAAAAGCATCACCCTCCTTCGGCAGTCGGGTAAAAGATCAAAATGTGATATGACTAGAACAGATTTCTCTAATATATTTAACATTTACAGATTATCTTATTACGAGCGCAACTACGAATTCTTATCGCAAAAGGAATTGATAGGTCAAGTGCAAAGCCATTACACGGGTCAAGCTCTGAAACAACTATACGTGCTGGTGCTCGGCTTGGATGTTATCGGGAATCCGTACGGCCTGGTCGTCGGCTTAAAGAAGGGAGTTGAGGATCTCTTCTACGAACCATTCCAGGTGACTCTTGTGTGCTTGTTTTTTATTTATTATATCCTTTGTAGGCAGACGAGCATATGGCCCACCTGATGGTAAGTGGTCGCCGTCGCTCATGGACTTCAGCAATGCCAGGACAAAGCCAAGCCGCTGCCTACCATTAAGTACTCTCTACAAGCCTCGTTTGAAGAAGGACATGTCATAGCGCTCGGAAAACACCGTGGAGGGGAGCTCATTCTAAAGCCGGATGGTACGTGGCAAAAAAGATCTTTGGAAACGCACTGTCGATGAACGCAGCGGTTCCAGATAATATGGATGAACTCTGCTCCGATGGCGGGAGGTACGATGATAGAAGGAGATGAGGGGTCATCTCGAATAATTGCTCAGAGCATTCCCCATGGAACATACGGTATAAAACATGTGATCCTAGTATTAGTGAAGTAGTTACTTGTGGTAGGGCGCGAAGTATACTAATGAACTCCTGGTTGAAGGGTGTCCCAGCCGTTGTATTGTAGAGACTTAGAACAGCGTATCTCGAAGTGAGGTTGCGGCATTTAAGTTAATTGAGACCTTGACTTCGTTCACCTTGTTAAACCCTGTTAAATAGCTTCTACTATAATCTGATTTTAATATTTCTCCACTGCCGTGCGTTATGATTTCTCTGGATTAAAAAGTATGGGTATTAATTGTAACTGGTATATTTTGGGACTGTAAAAGTAACTACTACTCTCGTTATCTATATCTCTAATCTTTTTTATTGTCATTGAACACAAGCACGTCATAATACTCAAATGCGTGTTTTGTTCTCACTCGGGTCAGTACCACCGTTATGTCTGTTTCTACTGCGAGGCAATTGAAGGATGAAAATGAAATTGAAAATATTTCCTGAGCATAACGTGTTTTGTAGAATTTTTAATGTTAAACCCTTTCTGTTTGTTTGTTGTGTGCAGGGCGCTATCCAGGGTCCGGGCGAGTTCGCGGAGGGACTATTCCTCGGCGTGCGCTCCCTCGTCGGACACACGGTGGGCGGCGCGGCGGGCGCCGTCTCCCGCATCACGGGCGCCATGGGACACGGGCTCGCCGCGCTCTCGCTCGACAAGGTGTGTACGCACTCACGCACGTCTGTACACATGTACGCACGTACACACGCACACACGTTCGCAAGCACATACGTACACATGTTCGCAAGCACATACGTACACATGTACGCATGTACACGCAAGCACGTACAAACGTTCACAATCACGTACGTACACATGTACGCACGTACACACATACATACAAGCATGCACACACACGCACGCACGTACTCAAGCACGCACGTACATGCACACGCACACATGTAATCCCGCACGCACACACATATGCACACACGCACGCACGTATACACACACATATGCACACACGCACGCATGTATACACACACGCACACACGCACGCACTGCATTGTACAACTCAACGCTTAGACATACAAGTTGTGTATTGCAATTTGTGCCTCTTTACATATTCAATAATAAAGCGAGTTCCGCTATCGTCACCTTCCCCTGTTTTTCTTTTTGGAAGTTAACAATGTGGAATTTACCCGCACGTTATTACCATCAGGACTACCAGCGACGCCGCCGCGACAACATTAACAAGCCGCCGGCCAATCTTCAGGAGGGACTCGCCCGAAGCGGCAAGGGTCTAGTTATGGTATGTTTGAAATTTAACTTGCAAGGTTTTCATTAGAGAATAATTATAGACTAATGAGTTTATCCTGTGGTGTACAACGTAAATGTACTTTAATACACGAAATCTAAGTTTCAAATTGCATTTAGTCTTCAAAACGGAACGCACGATTAATTCGCGTCTTACAATATACCATACACCCGAGCGGGTGCTCAAAACGAACACCAGTATATATTTGATGAATAAAATTTTCCCAAAAGTCAAATGCTTGATTGATTTTTTTTTGCCTTGTTGGCAGGCGGTTATACGGCCCACCTGATGGTGAGTGGTTACCGTCTCCCATGGACTTCAGCAATGCCAGGGGCAGAGCCAAGCCGCTGCCTACCACCTGATTGATAACGAACGTTGATTTGAAATAAACAGGGAGTGTTCGACGGGGTAACGGGAGTGTTCACGAAGCCCATAGAGGGCGCCCGCGACCAGGGCGTCGAGGGATTTTTCAAGGGTCTGGGTAAAGGGGCCGTGGGCCTGGTCGCGAGGCCCACCGCTGGGGTCGTGGACTTCGCGTCCGGTTCACTCGACGCCGTAAAGAGGTGAACAACTGGAACATAAATAGCATGCGCTAATTAAGCTTATCGTATTCCAGCTAAAGCTTAAAACTTGTTATGCTTGATTGTTTTAAGATCGACTGTGTGAACATCACATAATGTTTTCACACATTTCACATCATGCCTTGAAAAAATTATGTATACATTGCTTGTCGACATTTTTGTCTATTGACGTTGTCCATAGATACGTTCCTAATATTAGATCGATTGATTTATGTAGGCTAATTTGATTAACAAAGTTAATTAAGTTTTCTATCCAGTGTAGGTTTAGCGTCTCGGGGTAAATTGCGTGCGTTCTTACTTGTAATAATAGTCGTATAAACAAAATTCTAGGATGTTTTTTTTATTTAATTGAAAATTACCTCAGTTCGATAGAAGACCATTCGCGAACGCATTAATTACGAACAAACACAGCTGCCTTGTTTTTACAATATTAGTGAATCCCGATTCGCGTTTCGCCGCGATTATCGCTTGCCTAATACGTGAAATGCTTCCGTTCTTATTAAACCAATCAAAAGCGATCTTGTACTTTACCGATACTACGTTAGGAAGCTTCTTTGCAGTATCGAGAGCTGCTCAAGCAATGACACGCGAACGCACATACAAAACATCGACATGTTGCGATATCGATCGACGAATATAAGATATATAGATCTAGCGAATATAAAACCAAGCCGCAAATTTTCATCAAACCCCAACAAATTATGTATGTAGTTTAAACCCTTAAATTACAAATCGAACGATAGAACAATCTTAATTTCGTCCTTTTTTATTCTCTTGATACTGGTGAAGGCATTAGAACGAAGTCATAGAACTATTATTGTCATCGGTACTTGATACGTGTGCAAATTTTCAAGTTAATCAAATGTCTTGCGATGAATATGACGTTCAAAGATTCCTTTAAATAAATACAAGCAAACATACATACATATCGAGCTATTAAAAGCTTATTGAAAAACGAAATAAATTTTTTATTGCTTAGATGGGTGGACGAGCTCACGGCCCACCTGATGTTAAGTGGTTACCAAAACCCATAGATATTTACAACGTAAATGCCGCCACCCACCTTGAGACATGAGTTGTAAGGTCTTTTACATAACAGTAAGTACAATGTAAAATGAAGATACGAGAAATGTATCGTTTAGGGCTTTGTGGACGGCGTCAGCGGTGTAGTGGTCCGCCCGATACAAGGAGCTCACGAAAGCGGCGCCGGCGGCTTCATGAAGGGCCTGGGTCGCGGCGCGCTCGGCCTAGTCGTGCGGCCGGTGGGCGGACTCGTCGACTTTACATCGAGCTTATTAACGTCCGTCAAAAGGTTCATTTTTCGAAATCAACTCCGATAAACCATAAATATTAGTTGTGTCGTGGCGTGCAACCTCTTTGACAGGACATAAGACCTACAACGACTAGACATAGACTAAGACAGAGACTTGACAAGAATTCGAAAAGAAACATTGAGAGAAGTGGAATGAGGGCGGACGTGACTAGCGGCAGGCAGTAGGGATGTCCGAAATTCGATAAAGTATCGATATTTTTTGAAAATATCAATATTTTTATTAAAAAACTAGGTGACCCATCAGACTTAGTAGTGCCTTAATCGATAAATAAAAGACCTAAACTGTTGTATAAAATAAACTTAAAACAAACAAAAGGAATCCGTCCGACGGGGGACACTCAAACGAAAAACAAACTGTTATTTTTATTTAATTTCGAGCATTTTCATATTTATCTACCTTTTAAACCTTCTCTGGACTTCCACAAATAATTCAAGACCAAAATTAGCCAAATCGGTCCAGCGGTTCTCGAGTTTTAGCGAGACTAACGAACATTGATGTGCCTTTGGAAAACATACAGCATTGTATTAATTATTTGGGCTGCCAAGTCAGCCTTACAAAAAATCAATTAGTACACTGGTTCAAGAGATGACATGTCTAGGGATTCGATGGAAAATTGCGAGAAATAAAGTATGCTGTATGTTTTCCTTCTCGGCACATAATATCGGTTTTATTGTTATGTAAAACCGTAATATTAATTCATTTTTATATAGATAGATATCGATATATCGATATGATTTCACAGAGAATATTCGTGCTAATCAATAGATTACATATTTTTTAATCAATCAAGAACAACTTTAAAGAAATTTTAAAAATTCATTTTAAGAAAATTAAAAACCAAATTTTAAAACAGCAAATCGATCGACCTAAATCAAAAAATAATAAACATAAAATATAATTTGTTAAAAAGTTGTTAGTATAAAAAAGTATTTCTTTTTAGGATTGTTTAATCTTAAAAAATATAAATGTTTATTGGTCTGAAAAAATATACATTTTCGATACTTGGAAGTTTATATCGATACATCGATATATCGAAGTATTAAATATCGCTCAAAAATATCGACCATTGAAGAAATAATACCGATATATCGATGTATCGATATTTTTTCAACAAGCCTAGCAGGCAGTACTTTTTTTGCTTTCCTAAAAGACGGACACGAACTAGACGACAAAGAACGAATTGACCGTTCTCATATATGTACATAAAATAGTCGACAAAAGAACTAACCTACTGTTCATAGTCGTTCGTATATTTCGTAGGTATGGCGTTGGGATTATTGCGAGCAGTGTTCTGTTGCTAGGTTGTTTCTCATGCGGGGCTTACATTATCGCGTGAATATCCGTGTTCGTGTTATCCGCGTCCAACCAAATCTTACTAAATAAATGTTTGACGACAAATACGATTCGATAAAAGCTTATGACTGTATCGTAAAAATCTGACTATGACAAATCTCTTTTAAAAGTATCTTGGCATAATGCGCATATTCGAAGCCAACGAATTTTTTGGTGTAATTGTGCAAGGGTTGCTACAGGCCGAGCATTTATCAAGATAAAGCCGTGTGTGATATGATACGTCGCGATTTTAGGAAAATTGTCGGAAGAGTACCTGTTAAAAAACAACATGGTGAATGTCCTCTCTAGAAATGTGTTCCATTTAATATTTTCGTATACCGAATCGCCTTTGTCTCTTTTCTTGCCGGTCTGTCTAGTGTTGCCACTTTAGGGAACGCAAAGTGCGATTCGCTTAGAAATTGTGTCTCTCGGGGTGGGTGGCGCATTTGCGTCGTAGATGTCTATGGGCTCCAGTAACCACTTAACACCAGGTGGACTGTGAGCTCGTTCACCCAGTTAAGCAATAAAAAAAATAACGGGGATATGAAACAATCTGTTAATTTTGAGAAAACTGGCAACAAACTTTTGTGACTTGTACTTTTTCTTCGTACATAACTCCTTCATCACATGCAATTTCTATAAATAGCCTTTGAACCCTTAGTTTTAAGGTCTAATATACTTTATAGGCACATAACACCTTCATTCAATGTAAAAACTCAAAAATCTTAAAAATGGTACTTAACCGCTTCATCCACTCATGTCTTCATTTATTGATAAGCTTATACTAACTAATCGATGATAATGTTATGCGCTGGGTTTCGGGATAAATAAAAAAATCTACCGAAGTACAAGTTAACACAGTATTTATAACTTAGAACACTCACGGAACACTTTAAAATTATTAATTCACTTCTTCCGCTTCGCTTCAGGTGATCCGTTTGCTGTTTCGCTTCGAGTAGTTCCGATTACTGACTAACTGCGTGCCGTCTCTGCTACGCATTTATAGTCGATACGACATCCCTAAAATTGTCGAGAACATTCCTCACAAGTCGAGTATTTTCGATGTGTGTTTCCGCTATCCGAAAATATATGGCGTTGTACCTACTTATTGAGAGTTCTAGATGTTCTTGATATTCGTTTCGGCTATTCGGCGAGAGATGGCGTTACTCTTACCGGCAATTATCCTTAACAATATGGTACAAATTACCTTAAGAGAGTATACAATGCCTTGCTGATAGCGGCGGTTCACGAACCGACTCGAAAATGAATGACTTCGATGTAAAATGCATCCATATACAATATAATACGCGCGGTTGCCCGGACCGTAGTGATTGACGAAAATGTAGCCTCAGCATTAGTACATGTTAACTGTAATAAATTCTGGTGGTCGTGTTACGTTAATAATATTATATGTGAAGTGTATTAAAGCATGTTGTCCATTTTGTTTTTAATTAGGGATGATTAACACAAAAAAAAAAAAACTTAATCTTATTATTACGTATGAGGCGATTTTGTGTTTGCTTGATGATAATAAAACTAGTATATTCGAATAGATTGTTTTTTGGTTAGATATATTAATATTCGATTGGAGTGTATTCCAAATCACGTAGAAGAGAGTAATAATTGGGCGTTAGGATGGTTAATACTAAAAAAATATTAGTCTTTTTTATTTCCTTTTCAATCGAAAAAACGTAGTGATTTATTTATATTTATTTTTGTGTATATGTTGATTTTATCACAGATCGATTGTATGTAGTTCGCTTTTGTAAACTAATATTAATTTGTTGCTCTTTTAAATGAAATAATTAACAGCATAAATCGTTTCTCAACCTGACGATTGTGCTCAGCAATAAGAATGTCCCTTATATGTATATTTCCAAGTAACATTTTAAATAAAACAAAATTAAATCATCTATCTATTCAGTTTGTAAAAAAAGTTTGAGAAACGACGAAAAAACTAATTCTATGCTTTTGCCTTTGCTATGCTTTCTGGCTTAATAGGTATACTATAAAATTGAGTAGGAAACCGTGAACTCTAATGTACAGGGCGGCCGATATGTCTGAAGAGGTGACCAAACGCCGTGCCGCCAGGTACCTGCCTCCCGATACCGGAGTGAGGCCTTACTCGAGATCTCAGGCCGAAGGTTATAAAATGTTGTTCGAACTCGAGAAGGTAACGTAATATGTGTTGTTTAAAATAAACCATCGCAAAATTCAACTTTTAATTCTTGTTGCAAAGTTTGACAAACATCGACGTTATATACCAAAAAAAAACGACTTCAACAAAATTTATAAGAATAGCATTAATACAGTGGCAATCAATGAAATATGCATTATTTAACATGAGTCATAAATGAATTATTGGATATTTATAAAATTAAAAAAAAAATATTGGTTTCAATTTAGTCAAAAAGAAACCATGATGTCAACAAGCGAACTCCCTCCTTATAATTTTTTTTTTTACTTTTTGTTATATAACGCTAACGATCATACGATCCTGATCTGATGATCACAGCCATCTGAGCTCACAGCCCACCAGGTCTTAAGTGGTTACTGGAGCCCATAGATTTCTATAACGTAAATGCCGCCACTCACCTTGAGATATGGGTTCTAAGGTCTCAGTATAGTTACGACGGCTGCCCCCCTGCTCGACCTTTCGAACCGAAACGCATTGCAGCTTCACGGCAGAAATAGGCGGGGTGGTGGTACCTACCCATGCTGACTCATAGAAGGTCCAACGAACAGTAGTTGTCACTGTTGCTCAAGGGCTTTGGAAATGTCAGATACAGCTAAATCGCTGCCTACTGACTGTTATACTGAAGAATACCGTAGTTTTAAATCCTTCTCAAAAGATAAGTCATAGCTTCAGAGATTTGTCTCACAGCATACCAAGCATCCTTTTAGTATCTCATGCGAAAATAATATTTACGTAACACAAAAAATTAATGGTAAGAAACAATTACGATGATACGTATTTTATTACCAATGGATTGGATTTTCTTCAATTTTCTTAACTTTTTTAATTCCAGATGTTGTCAACTATAGCAGTTTGTTTAGTACCTATAAGTTAGGTTAATAAATAAATTAATTAAAACATGTAATTTATTCATTGCATTTGTCGGTCAGGGTAAATACGTGACTACGGACACGTACGAGGCTCACGTGTGGGTGATCCCAGCCAAGGAGGTGGTGGTCTGCACCGACAAAAGAATTTTGTATTTGGAGAAGAATAACGTGTTCGGGGGTTGGCAGGTAACTGAAACTTAGTTTGTATTGGTTCATCCTCGCAGTAGAAACGCTTCGATATTTCTACCAACCGCCTTACGTATTTCTGCCCTCAAGCAGTAATGTGTTTCGATCTGAAGTGTAGGCAGCCGTTCTAACTATACTGAGATCTTAGAACTTATATCTCAAGGTGGGTGGCGCATTTACGTTGTAGATGTCTATGGGCTCCAGTAACCACTTAACACCAGGTGGGCTGTGAGCTTGTCCATCCATCTAAGCAATAAAAAAAAATAAAAAAAACATACGAAGATACTAATGATCTGCAAATTAATCGATCGAAACGCGATCTGTTTTGCTACGTACCATGCGGCTTTGGAATGAGCTCCTCTCCACGGTGTTTCCCGAGCGCTATGACATGTCCTTCTTCAAACGAGGATGGTCGAGAGTATTAAACAATAGGCAGCGGCTTCACTCTGCCCCTGACATTGCTGATGTCCATGGGCGACTGTAACCGCCAGGTGCGCCATTTGCTCGTTTGCCTACAAGGACAGTAAAAAATTTAGTAATAAAAAAATAAAAAACAAGTTCGAAATTTCTATGAAAATTATTTTTGTTCTGAATTACACTAACCATAATGTTTGTGTATAATAAACACAGAGTGAACGTAAGACGGATTACGTGAGATTTTTTCGTTTTGCTAGTGTTGTGATTTTTCCAACGGATAATGCTAGATTACATATCGAGGCACGTAAAGGAAAATTATATATGAATTTAATGCATTATTCATACTCAGTTATATGAGATCGAATTTGAACTGTTATTTTAAATGTTTGAGCTAATAATGTCTTACAAAAAATTATTATGAATTCATAGTCATCTAAGAACAAGACTAACATTGTTGTATAGCGTGTATCGATGTGTTCCTATCCAACGTGAGAATGAAACGAGTAGATACGTACGATAATATAGGAATTTTTAGTTGTATTGTATATTGTTGTTGTCAAACCAAAATCTGCTATGTGCACTTTTTGAGATTTTTACTTTTTGACCTTTTCGTATAGTTCACAGCCCTATCTACAGTATAAAAAAAACTGTTATGTGTCTATAACTTTAATATTTATTTATAGCTTTCATTAGATATAGTTCTTAAAAATTCACCTTCATATAAAATTTTATACGATAATGTTTTTACTCGTTAATTCAAAATAGAATTTTTGCACATAGCAGATTTTGGTTTGACAGCGACGATATGCAAAAAACAATATGTATTATATACAATATTTAAAATATAATATACTGTTAAATAGTATAAATATATTATAAAAGCGGGCCGCTCCGGTTCCGATCGGGTCTTTAACAAAAAATTTAACGATATTTGACATTGTTTTATTTTTTTAAATAAAAGAACACTTATTGCGGCATAACTATAATAGTTAGACATATGCTGTCGCGACACTTTTCGTAAATAATAATGTGCTCTACAAAGGCGTAGTACATTATTTTATTCTATTATCAATAGTTTTCGCAGAGCACGCGATGTAAAGAATATTTTAGGTAATTTTTTTACACCTTGGATTACATTATTGGAGTTTTTTTAGGGATCCCTAATTTTTTTCAAAAAAGATTAAAGCCTATGTCACTCGGGAATAGTGTAGCTTCCAAACAGTGGAAGATTTTTTCAAATCGGTTCAGTAGTTTCGGAGCCTATTCAATACAAACAAACAAACAAACCTTTCCTCTTTATAATATTAGTATAGATTATCTTTAATATACAATATATCATTCAATAGTATAGATATGTTGTATGATATTTAATAGATCGTCTGGACTTACCTATGGACCGAACTGCCCGAAGTGCCGTCGCCTGTCAACAAGGGCGTTTACATTCCCACAGCCAAGAAGAAAGTACTCGGAATGTTCTCGAGTTCCGGCTCGGGGAAAGTTATACTACTTTTTGACGAACAACAGAAGAAATACTTGCTGACTCAGTGTCAACGGCTCATGAGCTCGGCCCGTTGACTAGAGGCCGTAGGGAGGTTTTCCGCAGCCGACGCGTTGCGGGAGATCTTTCTACTTTTATTCGATTTCCGCACAGCGTTGTTCACTGTCGCTTACCACTTTAACGTGCACCATTACGGGCCCAAAAGCTTCAATTAAAGCTTGCACCAGATCGATATATCCATATCGACGCTTGAAAGGCAAACGTGACTAAGCGACAATAACTGCTTTGTACATAAATGATAGGCAATGAACATATTCGATGCGCAAAAAATTTTTCTAGGTCTATTAAAATCATTTCAATCCTACAGTTAGATTCGTTAAAATAGAATTTTTTTCAGGTATTTCAAATTTAAATTAGTCTACTGTAAAGTTCACGCATTGTCGCTTAGTCACGTTTGCCTTTCAAGCGTCGATATATATCTATTATACTTAACTTCGACTACTTAATTTCCCTAAATATATATCCGAGTAGTCCGTGTAGATCGTCCCTAATTCGAAGCCGTCGCATTAATTAAATTATAGCAGAATGCTTCATTTGTTTTGAAATGTTTAAGTCCTTTTAACTCTTCAATACGATATTCCTGTTCTAAAGTCGGGAGCGTTTTTTCTCGAATGTGTGATATCGCTATGTGACTACAGCTGCCAAATATGTAATAAATCGACTGACTAGCTACGGCGCGTTGTGTTCACTATGACTTCTACAAATTTTTATATTCGTTAATTATTTTGAAGTACGGCTTTGAGATTCGAATGTAAATAATAATAATATGAAAGAGCCTTTGCATTTAATAAGGTTACAAAATAATATATTATAAGTTTACACATTATTACATTACTGGTCTTCCTTTACGTATTTACAGAGAGCTTTGTGACGCGTGTTTATGTATTTTTATGTTTTTTTCTTCTTCGAATAAATGATTTTCTTAGTAGTTTTTGGAATGTTGTACATTTTTTTTTAAAATACTCATGATCCTGTTACGTTGTGCTGTGTTATGTTTTCTATATATTGTCTATGTGAAACAAACTTGTTTATAATATACGTTAAAAACAATGTATCGTAAAATTACAAAACTTAATAAATACTAGTAATCGAATATAATATGTTCAATGTTCTTTGAAATTCGATTGTTTTATTAATAATTGTATGTAGCTTGAATCAGTGCCTTATTGTTAGAAGTACATATATTTTTTTTCTGTTAATTGAAAATAAATTTCAGAATTGAAAGAAGGTGCGTAATATAATATTTTCATTGTAAACTGTTGTTTAATAATTTAGATCGGAATGTAATCCTTGTGATTGTAGCTTCCTGCACAATATCAACTATGTATTTACGATTCGTTTTCAGCTTGTTTATGGATATTTTGTAATAAATATTTAGACAAAATTGGGTATTTTATTTTTAATATATTTAAAAAAAAAACCAAACTAGAAGCACTATGAAACGATTTATGGGATTTAAGGGGACAGAAACGTAACTTCGTATACATACCAAAAGTGTAAACTGTCCAACCTAAGCGCTACCAAGTAATATAGTAAGCCATGGGGTCTTGGTCAGATTTAGTCCAAAGGTCTTTATTTGATACTAGCTAACCCGGCAGACTTCGTAGTGCATCATTCCGATAGAGGCACCCGTCACGCGCGGACGTGCTCATCGACCACTCGATAGCGATGGACGATATACATCGATTTATTTAAAATACTCGATGTATAGTAACGATGCATCGTCTTGAACCGATGTATTGTAAATACTTCAACATCGAATATATATCGATGTTTTTCATTCGATGCATCGATTAGGTACGCAAATTATGAGATTACTATACTATGAGTGAAAAGAGAAACGAAACGTTATAATCAGTGCTGCCAATATTNTGCAGGAGCCAGTCACCGTCGACGCCCTAGACACGTCCTTACGGATCCATCAGATCCAATAACCTTTGCACTAGACGCCTTCAGCTCTAGGAGCAGGCTTAGGGACCTCGGTAACCGTACTCGTCGAACTCGACAAAGAGTTCGCCGTGCAACCTAACCCATGAATCAGCTCGCTGAGTTTCTCGCCGGATCTTCTCAGTGAGTCGCGATTCCGATCCGGTAGTAGATTCATTCGCGAAGCAGCTACTCTTGAGTTGTTAGGTCTCCTTCGGAGGCGCTCGGGTAGCTGTTAGCAAATCCCACCCCTCCTGGCTGAGCCTTTGCTCGCCCACCTGTCCTGGTGAAACTGGAAAGGCCTCCGGGCCACCAGTAAAAAAAAACTTCGTAGTGCCTCAATCGATAAATAAAAGACCGAGGGGGGACACATCAAAGGAAAAAAAAAATTGTTATTTTTATTTAATTCCGAGCATTTTCAAATTTATCGTACCTTTTAAACCTTCTCTGGACTTCCACAAATAATTCAAGACCAAAATTAGCCAAATCGGTTCAGCCGTTCTCGAGTTTTAGCGAGACTAACGAACAGCAATTCATTTTTATATATTGAGATAATATCTGGCCAGAATATTCGAAGTATCGACCTCAAGCACTTATTTAAATAGTGCCTGAAGTCGATGATAATAGTATAATTGTATTATTTAGGACTGTTATTCAGACAGGAATTTCCGGGATCAAACATGCATATTTAATTTCTAGTTCGGCTTGATAATGTGAGTAAATTGAGTGTGATTTTGTTTTAATTTTTTATATATATTATATATTTACTATTTACTAACTATCACGACACGTTAACTGGTCCCGTGTTAAGTTCGTAAAGAACTTGTATTACAGGTACCAGATAACGGAAGTAAATGTAAGATTTTTATTATACACATACATATATTTAATATACATCCATAACCCTGGAAAAGACATTTTATATTTATCATACAAATATCTTCCCTTGGCGGGATTCCAACCCGCGACCCCCTTGTGTAGTGACCATGACACCACTACACCAGACGGCCATGAATTATTAATTAGTTAGTTTTTAATCTGCTATTTATCTTTCTCTTATTATAGTAACTGTTAACGTCTCGATAGATACCTAATAACTTCGATCAACAATAATAATGAGTAGACGAAGATGTTATGTATGTTACTACAAGTTACTTAGCTTACCCAAGAACGCGGCTAGGGCTCTTAATTTTCAAACGAACATTGAAATCACACGACAAAGAATTTAACACAATGATAAATTATGTATAACTCCATCGTAAATCCGTTCCGAACGTGTTACAATTAAACTGAGTAATAATAAACGGTTTATATTCGAACAATAAAACGGATATTCTGGATGATGGCTTACGTCAGTTAAGTCTACAAACGTAATGACATCTTCACTTTACGGACGTTAAAATTTAGAGTCTCGTTTAAGTTAATATTCGTGCTTGAATAGAGCCAACATTGGGGTGAGACCAAAGAAACGTTGCCTTAAAGAGTAATTATTTTATAGACGCGAATAGTAATAATAAAATTAATAATAACTGGGAACAAATCTGGCACGGACCCCAATTTATGATTCCCTGTGTTAGGGGTATCAGAGACTGTTAAACATATTTATATATATTGAAATATATCCATATATAGATTATAAGCACCCAGACAAAGACCAAACAAACCTCTTCATCACTCAATTTTTGCCCGATGTGAAAGTCGAACCCACGACCCTTGGCGCAACAGTGAGGGCCGCCAACTATTGCACCACCAAGTCAGTCAGGAATAACGCGATCTATTGCTGATGTCGTAGATTAACTGACGAGCTGAGGTTTTTAGCTGCACGAATACCTACTACAGTATACGCCGATCAGTTTGAAGAGTAACTCGACAGCAGGTAGCAAAATCCTATCACTGCCAACCAGGCTATCTGTATATACTATGTATCTATTTCTATTTCCCTATATACTATATGCTATATATTTTCTGACTTCGAAAGCAGTTGAAAACCTATCTTGGGACATTATACCTACCTGAATTGCATTAGAATAATGGTTATTCTACCCTTAAAGCCGTAAGACGTGGGGATGTTTGATTTCATTAAACGATGTTATTCCTTCTCCTTAAAATAAATACATAGGTTACCTAAGAAGATGTCGTTTAGTATACACAAAGTTAAAGTCATTTTTTATAAATATTTTTTGATTCTATCAATCAAAATATGCATCCATGGTATCGATGCATCGCTGCCATCGCAACGGTAATTTGTCAATGCCCTCCCTAAATAAATCAGGTGTGCGGGAACCAATAAACTCTTCAAAGGCATTTTGTACTACCTTAGTACCTAACATACCTACCTAAGGGTATTGAATTTTCTACTAAGAAGTTGTCCATACTTTAGAAAAAGTAGAAGTCTGTCGGGGCAAGTACGGCGGATGACGTAAAACTTCCAATACTAGATCTTGTAGAGACCGTCTGTTGTGTCGTACGAGGTCAAGGGTTGTCGTGTAAGTTCAGCGGGGACGTGCAATTCTCCATCATTGTATCTAGTTTCTCACTGCATATCTGCAATAATGCGCGTTTATCGTGGTCCTAGGCAATCAAAGAGATCTTGACCTTTTTAGGATTAATTTTTCGATTGGGGCATTGCGTACCTACAGAGTGTAATAAACATGATTACATTTTCATTGTAAATGCCAATGTGGCTCAAAGTCTGTCTGTTGACACAAACCATACCATTGTAGATTAATTGGTAAGGAAAAGTCAAAGTCAAAAGTGCAAAAGCAATAAGTGCAATAAAGCACTTAAGCAATAAATGATACGTGCATTTTCAATGCAAAAGTTCAAAATGGGTCATTTGACCCGTTATGGTATGTTTAGTGAATGTAAGGCCTGGAATAATGGAATGTAATGTACCTCTAACACTAGGAGCAGGTTTAGGAACCCCGGTAACCGTACTCGTCGACCTCGGCAAAGAGTTCGACGTGCAACCTAACCCATGAATCAGCTCGCTGAGTTTCTCGCCGGATCTTCTCAGCGGGTCGCGATTCCGATTCGGTAGTAGATTCATTCGCGAAGCAGCTGCTCTTGAGTTGTTCGGTCTCCTTCGAAGGCGCTCGGGCTGCTGTTAGAAAATCCCAACCCTCCTGGCTGAGCCTTTGCTCCAATACTAAAAAAAAAGCGCTTGTACCTTAACGCGTTCGTCGCGCTGGCGATCCTTCATTTCGTGCGGCATCCACTTTTACTTATGTTTACCTTGCCAATTTGATGCAAATGGACCAATACCGTTTTGATGATAACGTTGAAAGCTGCCGCTGGCTAAGCCGGGATTGAGTATCGTCAGCTTTCTCTATCGCTTTTAATTC